CACGACTGTGTGTCACACACTCTCTCTCTACACTCACACTACACGACTGTGTGTGTGTCACACTCACTCACTACACTCACACTACACGACTGTGTGTGTCACACTCACTCTCTACACTCACACTACACGACTGTGTGTGTCACACATTACACCACTGTGTGTGTGTCACACATTACACGACTGTGTGTGTGTCACACATTACACCACTGTGTGTGTCACACATTACACCACTGTGTGTGTGTCACACATTACACCACTGTGTGTGTGTCACACATTACACGACTGTGTGTGTGTCACACATTACACCACTGTGTGTGTCACACATTACACCACTGTGTGTGTCACACATTACACCACTGTGTGTGTGTCACACATTACACCACTGTGTGTGTGTCACACATTACACCACTGTGTGTGTGTGTGTCACACATTACACCACTGTGTGTGTCACACATTACACCACTGTGTGTGTGTCACACATTACACCACTGTGTGTGTGTCACACACTACACCACTGTGTGTCACACATTACACCACTGTGTGTGTGTCACACATTACACCACTGTGTGTGTGTCACACATTACACCACTGTGTCACACATTACACCACTGTGTGTGTGTGTGTGTCACACATTACACCACTGTGTTTGTGTGTCACACATTACACCACTGTGTCACACATTACACCACTGTGTGTGTGTCACACATTACACCACTGTGTGTGTGTGTGTCACACATTACACCACTGTGTGTGTCACACATTACACCACTGTGTGTGTGTCACACATTACACCACTGTGTGTGTGTCACACATTACACCACTGTGTGTGTGTCACACACTACACCACTGTGTGTGTCACACATTACACCACTGTGTGTGTGTCACACATTACACCACTGTGTGTGTCACACATTACACCACTGTGTCACACATTACACCACTGTGTGTGTGTCACACATTACACCACTGTGTCACACATTACACCACTGTGTGTGTGTCACACATTACACCACTGTGTGTGTGTCACACACTACACCACTGTGTGTGTCACACACTACACCACTGTGTGTGTCACACACTACACCACTGTGTGTGTCACACACTACACCACTGTGTGTGTCACACACTACACCACTGTGTGTCACACATTACACCACTGTGTGTGTCACACATTACACCACTGTGTGTCACACATTACACCACTGTGTGTCACATTACACCACTGTGTGTGTCACACATTACACCACTGTGTGTGTGTCACACATTACACCACTGTGTGTGTGTCACACACTACACGACTGTGTGTGTGTCACACATTATACCACTGTGTGTGTGTCACACATTACACCACTGTGTGTGTCACACATTATACCACTGTGTGTCACACATTACACCACTGTGTGTCACACACTACACCACTGTGTGTGTCACACATTACACCACTGTGTGTGTCACACACTACACGACTGTGTGTGTGTCACACATTACACCACTGTGTGTGTCACACATTACACCACTGTGTGTGTGTCACACACTACACCACTGTGTGTATGTCACACATTACACCACAGTGTGTGTCACACACTACACCACTGTGTGTGTGTCACACACTACACCACTGTGTGTGTGTCACACATTACACCACTGTGTGTGTGTCACACATTACACCACTGTGTGTGTGTCACACATTACACCACTGTGTGTCACACATTACACCACTGTGTGTCACACATTACACCACTGTGTGTGTCACACACTACACGACTGTGTGTGTCACACTCACTACACTCACATTACACCACTGTGTGTCACACATTACACCACTGTGTGTGTCACATTACACCACTGTGTGTCACACATTACACCACTGTGTGTGTCACATTACACCACTGTGTGTGTGTCACATTACACCACTGTGTGTGTGTCACACATTACACCACTGTGTGTGTGTCACACATTACACCACTGTGTGTGTGTCACACACTACACGACTGTGTGTGAGTCACACATTATACCACTGTGTGTGTGTCACACATTACACCACTGTGTGTGTCACACATTATACCACTGTGTGTGTCACACATTACACCACTGTGTGTCACACACTACACCACTGTGTGTGTCACACATTACACCACTGTGTGTGTCACACACTACACGACTGTGTGTGTGTCACACATTACACCACTGTGTGTGTCACACATTACACCACTGTGTGTGTCACACACTACACCACTGTGTGTGTGTCACACATTACACCACTGTGTCACACATTACACCACTGTGTGTGTGTCACACATTACACCACTGTGTGTGTGTCACACACTACACCACTGTGTGTGTCACACACTACACCACTGTGTGTGTCACACACTACACCACTGTGTGTGTCACACACTACACCACTGTGTGTCACACATTACACCACTGTGTGTGTCACACATTACACCACTGTGTGTCACACATTACACCACTGTGTGTGTCACATTACACCACTGTGTGTGTCACACATTACACCACTGTGTGTGTCACACATTACACCACTGTGTGTGTGTCACACACTACACGACTGTGTGTGTGTGTCACACATTACACCACTGTGTGTGTGTCACACATTACACCACTGTGTGTGTCACACATTATACCACTGTGTGTCACACATTACACCACTGTGTGTCACACACTACACCACTGTGTGTGTCACACATTACACCACTGTGTGTGTCACACACTACACGACTGTGTGTGTGTCACACATTACACCACTGTGTGTGTCACACATTACACCACTGTGTGTGTGTCACACACTACACCACTGTGTGTATGTCACACATTACACCACAGTGTGTGTCACACACTACACCACTGTGTGTGTGTCACACACTACACCACTGTGTGTGTGTCACACATTACACCACTGTGTGTGTGTCACACATTACACCACTGTGTGTCACACATTACACCACTGTGTGTCACACATTACACCACTGTGTGTGTCACACACTACACGACTGTGTGTGTCACACTCACTACACTCACATTACACCACTGTGTGTCACACATTACACCACTGTGTGTGTCACATTACACCACTGTGTGTGTCACACATTACACCACTGTGTGTGTCACATTACACCACTGTGTGTGTGTCACATTACACCACTGTGTGTGTGTCACACATTACACCACTGTGTGTGTGTCACACATTACACCACTGTGTGTGTGTCACACACTACACGACTGTGTGTGAGTCACACATTATACCACTGTGTGTGTGTCACACATTACACCACTGTGTGTGTCACACATTATACCACTGTGTGTGTCACACATTACACCACTGTGTGTCACACACTACACCACTGTGTGTGTCACACATTACACCACTGTGTGTGTCACACACTACACGACTGTGTGTGTGTCACACATTACACCACTGTGTGTGTCACACATTACACCACTGTGTGTGTCACACACTACACCACTGTGTGTGTGTCACACATTACACCACAGTGTGTGTCACACACTACACCACTGTGTGTGCGTCACACACTACACCACTGTGTGTGTCACACATTACACCACTGTGTGTGTGTCACACATTACACCACTGTGTCACACATTACACCACTGTGTGTCACACATTACACCACTGTGTGTGTCACACACTACACGACTGTGTGTCACACTCACTACACTCACATTACACCACTGTGTGTGTCACACATTACACCACTGTGTGTGTCACATTACACCACTGTGTGTGTCACACATTACACCACTGTGTGTGTCACATTACACCACTGTGTGTGTCACATTACACCACTGTGTGTGTGTCACACATTACACCACTGTGTGTGTCACACATTACACCACTGTGTGTGTCACACACTACACCACTGTGTGTGTGTGTCACACACTACACCACTGTGTGTGTGTGTCACACATTACACCACTGTGTGTGTGTGTCACACACTACACCACTGTGTGTGTGTCACACATTACACCACTGTGTGTGTGTCACACATTACACCACTGTGTGTGTCACACATTACACCACTGTGTGTGTCACACATTACACCACTGTGTGTGTGTCACACATTACACCACTGTGTGTGTCACACATTACACCACTGTGTGTGTGTCACACATTACACCACTGTGTGTGTGTCACACATTACACCACTGTGTGTGTCACACATTACACCACTGTGTGTGTCACACACTACACCACTGTGTGTGTCACACATTACACCACTGTGTGTGTGTCACACATTACACCACTGTGTGTGTGTCACATTACACCACTGTGTGTGTCACATTACACCACTGTGTGTGTCACACATTACACCACTGTGTGTGTCACATTACACCACTGTGTGTGTCACACATTACACCACTGTGTGTGTCACACATTACACCACTGTGTGTGTCACACACTACACCACTGTGTGTGTGTCTCACATTACACCACTGTGTGTGTGTCACACATTACACCACTGTGTGTGTCACACACTACACGACTGTGTGTCACACATTACACCACTGTGTGTGTGTCACACATTACATCACTGTGTGTGTGTCACACACTACACCACTGTGTGTGTGTCACACATTACACCACTGTGTCACACATTACACCACTGTGTGTGTGTCTCACATTACACCACTGTGTGTGTATCACACATTACACCACTGTGTGTGTCATACACTACACCACTGTGTGTGTCACACATTACACCACTGTGTGTCACACATTACACCACTGTGTGTGTCACACATTACACCACTGTGTGTGTCACACATTACACCACTGTGTGTGTCACACATTACACCACTGTGTGTCACACATTACACCACTGTGTGTGTCACACGTTACACCACTGTGTGTGTCACACGTTACACGACTGTGTGTGTGTGTGTCACACATTACACCACTGTGTGTGTGTGTCACACATTACACCACTGTGTGTCACACATTACACGAGTGACCTACTTACGAGAGAGATGCTGCTGCTGTTGCCGCTGGATTTCTGGTCGTCTTCACTGCCTCCTTCACTAGTGCTACAGTATATATAGACTGTATATATATAGTCTATATATACTGTATATATACAGTGTGTATATACTGTAGTGGGTATGTATGCCGGAGTAGAATATATTTTTGTCCACACCGTTGTATGCCGGTGTATTAATACGCTTCAGTGTTTGCAATCTAATACAACCGAATTCGATACACACTATGGTGATGACGATGATGACGATGATGTCGATGCGTTAAATAAAAGTATATATATTTTTAAAGAACGTAAAATATATCGGTGGCCTGGGTGTTGCGTCTCATTCCGAAGCTCGCGTGTATACGAATATTAACGACCCATATATATTTGATCTCTCTCTATCTCTTGGGGAATACAAACAGGCGTGAACTATATGGAGTCGAACCGCTCGTAATCTGTCAAGCGAGCCGCTAAGATTGACAGTGTGTAGGGAATTTGACGACGAAGACGACGAAGAAGACGACGACTACTTTGGCGACAGGTAGAGAAGTGAACGGCGCTCGCTATCACACCACGGCCACGCCATTGCCAAGCCTTCGATGTCTTCCTCCACCCCCAACACCACCCACCACCACCCCCCCCACAAACAAAGACAAAGATCCCCCGTGTAGCCTTAACAGACGGTAGGGGCAAGTGCTGTTAGCGAGCACCTATGAAGGCCGGAACGGCACACGAGGGGGGTGGGTGGCCAGCACCACGCCCGACCGCCTTTGTCTCCCCCAGTGGCGATGTTTTTATCCACCGCACCAGGTACTCATTTGAGGCTGAGTCGACCTAGGGGAGGCCCAGGTACCGGTTCAGATAATCGTCGCTGGTGGTGTTGGCCGTGAGCGGGTAATTGAACTCCGGTCGCCGGGTTCGTAGCGCAGCGTAGCGCTAACCGCTACACTACCGCTCCCCCCAACAACACCACCACCCCAACACCACCACCACCCCAACAACACCACCACCACCCCAATACCACCACCCCAATACAATCACCTCAACACCACCACCCCAACACCACCACCACCCAAATACCACCACCACCACCACCCCAACACCACCACCACCCCAATACCACCACCACCCCAACAACACCACCACCACCCCAATACAATCACCTCAACACCACCACCCCAACACCACCACCACCCCAATACCACCACCCCAACACCACCACCCAAACACCACCCCAATACCACCACCCCAACACCACCCCAATACCACCACCCACCACCACGCTCGACTTGGAATTCTCCAACCCTTGAAAATCCTCACCCTCCCTCTTCCGTCTCCTCCTCCTCTCCTCCTCTTCTCACGCCCAACCGCAGCGATTGTTGCAATGGTGACCTGGCGTGCGAAGTTCGCTCAAATTCTCTTGTGACACACGGTCGTTTCAATCAATTTAAACAAAACAAAAAAAATTCCCGAGCCGTAATTGTATCCGCATTGTTGCGGATTCTTTCGGCGGAGCGAGGGTTTGCATTCTTAAAGCCATCGGGCCCGCGGAAGCGGACATCAAGGAGCTGCATCTGAGATGCCGTCGCATTCCACACTGCGTGGCAGCACTTTCCCACTCGTGCATGATGAGAGTAATAACACTCTTTGGTTTTTTTCGGTAAAGTCACGTAGGTAAAATAAAACTAAATTAAATTAAATCACGACGTTTCGGAGGCAACAGAAGCTTCCATCTTCAGGTGGAACAGTCACAACAAAGATCGCTGTGTCAAGTGAACAGCTCTGGGACACCCGAGCTTATATACAGGTTAAGGGGGGGAGGAGCCAGGAAGGGACGTGGGTGGCGGGGAGGGCTTAGTTAAGGTAGGGGGGAGGAGCCAAGAAGGGATGTGGGTGGGGAGGGGAGGGCTAAGTTAAGGGGGGGGAGGAGCCAGGAAGAGACATGGGTGGGGAGGGGAGGTCTAAGTTAAGGGGGGGGAGGAGCCAGGAAGGGACGTGGGTGGGGAGGGGAGGGCTAAGTTAAGGGGGGGGGGGGGGAGGAGCCAGGAAGGGACATGGGTGGGGAGGGGAGGGGCTAAGTTAAGCCCCCTTTTGTTATGCTGCAGGGGGTTCGGGGGGAGGAGCGGTGGCGTGCTGCACAAGAGCAGGCACCATCCTGGTAGAAACGGAAACGGCTGTACAATTATCAGCCAGCTAACTTTTGACTTGGTTGATGACATCTTTCCAAAAGTTGCTCAATCTGAAACCATCCTCTCGGTTGAAGTTGTGTCTATGTTTGTATATCTGGATGGCTTCATGGACAAATCTTTGGTAATAACCGGGAGGTTTGCATAGTACGTTGGTATCGGAGAAAATAATGTCATGAGAACCCGCTGTGTTGAAACAATGATCAGCCACGGCCGAAGAATTCGTTCTGCCGTGTTTCAAATCTGATTTGTGCTTGCGAATTCGGTAAGAAATATGTCGTTTCGTCTCCCCGATATAGCAGTCACCACAGGTACAACTCAATTTGTAAACACTGGGGTACTGTAAGTCAGGAATGACATCCTTTACGGATGGGATCAGATCCCGGATTTTGTGTACTGTATTGAAGGTACCATTCCAGGTAAAGTAAGTGTTGGTGAGGCAGTGCCTAACCAGCGCAGGTACATCAGGGTTCAATCCATGTTCGACCAAATCTTCAATTATTGTTATGGTGTCAGGCACTGGGACCTTGGTGAACAGCGAGACCACATCAAAGCTGACGAGGATATCGTCAGGAGATAGTACAGTGTCCTTGACCATAGAAACCAATTGGGTTGACTCATTGGTTTTTCGGTAAAGTCACGTATGTAGAAATACCATAAAATAATATTTAAATAAATCAATACATTTTATGGTATTTCTACATACGTGACTTTACCAAAAAAACCAATGAGTAATTTATGCAGTCACGAAAGCTTTAATTCTTTATCAATTGGGTTGAGTTAAGTACCGCTGAGGTGGTCTTGCCAGTAAAGGGTAGGGGAGTTGATAGTGGACACGATGGGTCGTAGTGGGGTACCTTCTTTATGGATCTTGGGAAGACCATAGAATCTGGGAGGTCTTGCAGCCGTGGGTTTTAGGGAGGGACGTTTAGTTGGTTCGATTAGGGAAGTCGAACTAGTGATTATCTTGTTGGTTTTTATCGTTAGGCTGTTAGTAGGATCACTTTTAATTTTTGAGTAACTCCCATCATTGAGTAGGTCCTGGATTTTGTTGTATGAGTTTTTATCCATAATGACAGCGGCGTTGCCTTTGTCGGCCGAGAGGATGATTATATCATCCCTCCTTTTTAAATTCACGAGTTCAGAGCGTTCGTTTTTGCTAATGTTGCTAATGGGTTTCTTAGCATTCTTAAAAATAGTGGCTATTTCAACTCTCGCAACATCTGCTTGGATGTGTCCTATGCCTTTGAGGGCTACATCGACCTGAGAGATGATATCCTCTACTGGTATATGTTTAGGGGTGACAGCGAAATTTAGTCCTTTAGCCCGTACCGTTTTCAGATTGTCCAAAATCGGGATGTTACTCTGATTAATAACGATTTTGTTAACGGCCAGTTTTGTGAGGTGTGGTCCTGGGTTCTTCTTTGATAGGAGGTTGAATTTAGCGATAATCGAACCAACTAAACGTCCTTCCCTAAAACCCAAGGCTGCAAGACCTCCCAGATTCTATGGTCTTCCCAAGATCCATAAAGAAGGTACCCCACTACGACCCATCGTGTCCACGATCAACTCTCCTACCTACAAACTAGCCCGCATTTTTCGGATACTCTGCTTCCCTTTACTGGCAAGACCATCTCAGCGGTACTTAACTCAACCCAATTGGTTTCTATGGTCAAGGACACTGTACTCTCTCCTGACGATATCCTCGTCAGCTTTGATGTGGTCTCGCTGTTACCAAGGTCCCAGTGCCTGACACCATAACAATAATTGAAGATTTGGTCCAACATGGACTGAACCCTGATGTACCTGTGCTGGTTAGGCACTGCCTCACCAACACTTACTTTACCTGGAATGGTACCTTCTACAAACAAAATGAGGGTACCCCTATGGGTTCTCCCTTGTCACCAGTGATAGCCCATGTTTTCATGGAGAAATTTTAATCAGATGCCATCCAGACATCCACCCTTCGTCCTTCCCTGTGGAAGAGATATGTGGATTTGGCCACATAGCCTCCCAGCTTTGAACCATTTCCTAGACCACATAAATTACAGACACCCATCCATCAAATTCACCATGGAAGTGGAGAAAGATGGCAAGCTGCCATTCTTGGATGTTCTGTTTGAGAGGAGGACGGATGGCTCTTTGGGACATTCTGTTTACAGAAAGTCCACCCACACAGATTCATACTTGAAGCCTGATTCCCACCACCACCCGGCTCAAAAGAACTCTCTCATCAAAAGATTATACCATAGGGCTCATTGCATTTCTGACCAACACCACCTGGCCAGTGAATTAAACCATGTACATCTGGCCCTCAAGAGGAACGGATACTCTGACCATACCATCCGCCAAGCTGTTTCTCCCACCATACAGAAACAACCACCTGATACTCCGATCAAAACCATCACACTGCCATACATAGCAGGCGTTACCAAAAAGATTTCCAAAATTCTAAACAAACACAAGATCCAGGTCCGGTACAATACAGTACACAAAATATGGGATCTGATCCCATCCGTAAAGGATGCCATTCCTGACTTACAGTACCCCGGTGTTTACAAATTGAGTTGTACCTGTGGTGACTGCTATATCGGGGAGACGAAAGGACATATTTCTGACCGAATTCGCGAGCACAAATCAGATTTGAAAGATGGCAGAACGAATTCTTCGGCCGTGGCTGATCATTGTTTCAACACAGCGGGTTCTCATGACATTATTTTCTCCGATACCAACGTACTCTGCAAACCTCCCGGTTATTACCAAAGATTTGTCCATGAAGCCATCCAGATATACAAACATAGACACAACTTCAACCGAGAGGATGGTTTCAAATTGAGCAACTTTTGGAAAGATGTCATCAACCAAGTCAAAAGTTAGCTGGCTGATAATTGTACAGCCGTTTCTACCAGGATGGTGCTTGCTCTTGTGCAACACGCCATCGCTCCCGAACCCCCTGCAGCATAACAAAAGGCGGCTTAACTTAGCCCTCCCCTCCCCACCCACGTCCCTTCTTGGCTCCTCCCCCCCCTTAACTTAGCCCTCCCCTCCCCACCCACGTCCCTTCTTGGCTCCTCCCCCCCCCTTAACTTAGCCCTCCCCTCCCCACCCACGTCCCTTCCTGGCTCCTCCCCACCGCCCTTAACTTAGCCCTCCCCTCCCCACCCAGTCCCTTTCTGGCTCCTCCCCCCCCCTTAACTTAGCCCTCCCCCCCACCCACGTCCCTTACTGGCTCCTCCCCCCCTTAACCTGTATATAAGCTCGGGTGTCCCAGAGCTGTTCACTTGACACAGCGATCTTTGCTGTGCCTGTTCCACCTGAAGAAGGAAGCTTGTGTTGCCTCTGAAACGTCGTGATTTAATTTAGTTGTTTTATTTTATTTTACCTACGTGACTTTACCGACAAAACCAAAGAGTATGAATCCTTGCAGTCACGAAAGCTTCAAATCGAGAGTAA